AGTAAGCCATGCCTGCAGAACTGTCACCCTATTTGGGTGCTGGTTTGAGTCCTGGATACTCTGCTCCCAGTCCAGCTCCCAATATGCCTGGGAAAGCAGCAGAGGATGGCTCAGGCTTTGGGCCCTAGCACCTATGCGGGACTTGTAAGAAGCTTCTGGCACCTGGAAAAGACCATCCCGGATCCAGACACTGAGCCCATTTGGGGAGTGAGTCAATGGATGGGACATCTTTCAGTCTCTCTCTCTCTCTCTCTCTCTCTGCAACTCAGCCTTTCAAATAACAATAAATACATCATAGAAAAAGAAGAAGACAGGGTTTTTAGAGCAGAGGAAGCTGGCAGTGAGGCAGGCAGATCTGAGGCCTCAGACCCCGAGTGATGAGCGCCCACACCATCTCCAGCTCCCATGGATGGTGGCTGGGGTTTCCTTCTGCTGCCAGAGCCCTGCAGTCTGCTTTCGTGTGCCATGCAGGTGATCCGTCATGGAGATCTGCTGAGGCAAGCGAAGGTAGGCAAGTACACTGGGACATCAAGCATCGTAGGGCCTCCTGGCTAGGCTGGACAAACAACTTAGCACATGTAGTTGCTGTAGCCGCTGCCCAGTGCCTCCAAAGCTTGGGGATTTAGCAGACATAGCCACAGGTGTTGCAAGAGGTTGCTCTGATGCCCTAGGTTTGCAGAGGGCCTGCATCTCTGCCACTGGCTGTGCCCTCATCAAGACACTTGGCACCTGTCTGCGCAGCTTCCCCTGGCGAAATAGTGAGCCTTGGCTGTGGAAGGGTGGAAACTGATCTGCAGAACTGCTTCTGCGCTGCCTGGAGGCCTTCAGTTCACAGAGAGCCGAGGTTTGTGTAGTCCTGTGGGTTCAGGAGCAGATGGCTGTCCAGAGTCTTCCATTGTGTTCCACATCTGCTCTTCAAGGCAGGTGCAGTTTGACAGCTAGGCCTCGTCTGACCATCCAGGAAGACAGGAAATCTGGTCTGGCACTCTCTAACGGGTGAACAGTTGGGTCTGCTGATGGGATGGCATGGCCCGAAGGAACCCTCCTGATTGTGTGTAGCACTCCCATGTCATGCTCTCAGTCTCACAGAGCATCATTTGGTGCCCAGTCCTTCAGATATCTGCTGAACTGTTCATCTCCTTGAATGTCTGGGGTCAGACTAAGGTGTTCCAGCAACACTAACTTTAGCGCTAAAAGCACTTCTGCTTCCAGAGCTGGGCGTATTTCAGCTGACAGTGTCACCAGGCAGGTTGCTAGTGATTCTCAGGGGACTGCAAATTACCCTTTAGCCCTTACATGAGAGCTGGTTGCAGGGCCCCTGATCCTCCTGGGATGCCATGGGATTAATTGCGTGTTGTCGTTGTTTCTTTTCCGTTCCCTTAGACGAGGCAAGTTCTAGGAGGATATGGGCTGCATAGATCTGTGTCTGCTCTACAAGCAATGTGAATGTCCCCTCTCCGCACAGGGAAGTAGGGCTTCTCCCAAATTTCATTTCCCAGGCAGTGAGGGACCCTTGCTGATCAAACACAAGCTGCTACAAAGGAATGTGAGTGTGCAATCCACAGTTGCACTTGGATCGAGTGAAGTTGAGCAATGGCCTTTGCTGGCTGTGTGGTCCCACGTTGGGAGGCGCACGGGTGCATGGCTCTTTGCTTTCCGATCCATCGTAGACAACACTAACTTTCCTTTGGAAGTATCTCAAGAAAACTGCTATTGGATTGTTTCTGTCCACCATCTCTACTTCCCTCACTAGATACCGTGTTGTGAAAAAAGGGAAAGAATTCAAGTGGAAAGTGGTCCCCCCACCACCAAAAGGGATGTATGTCCCAGAAAATGAGTGCAGTCCAACAAGATAAGACTCTGTGGTGGAAGTCCAGCCTGTGTGTGTTTCAAGAGGCAAGTGTGCAGCTGGCTTGGGGCTTCATGAGTAAGCTACGGTCTGGAAACCCTTCTGGACATGAGCAACTGAAATGAGGTGGATTGTTCACCTCTGCAGGGAATGTGGCTTGTTTTGATGTTGACCCCTTTTGAATAGTTTTCAAAGGCTGCTGGTTGTGCTCCAGCACCCACAGAGCATTAGCTGATGGCTCTGGAGGAGTTTTGAAGAAGGGTCTTTGCTCTATATGCGTTCATTCTTGGCATCTTGTACGGCTTGGGGAAGACTCATAAAGGACATGACAGATGAGCACATGGCCAGAGGGAGCAACCGGAACTGGGAGAGGGCAGGAAGGAAGACCGACTGGACCCGACACGATCCTTTCCTGACAAGATGACATAAAAACTTTGGTTAAGTTTCTTAATTTCTATCGGCTGCTTTCTAAAATTGATGTTCCAGCATATAATTATACATGAAAAAAAGACCAGTGGAATATCAAGCGGTTCTTTTTCCTTTTAAAGGCAAATTTCTTTCTTACCATTATTTTTTTCTCTCTTCTGCTGTTCTACCTTATTTCATAGCAACTACCTCACCCACATATATTCTCTGATTTTATATTCTTTCCACTGTTCCCTTCTTTGGTTAATTTTAACTGACATGGAATAATGGTGAACTCTGGCTTTTATCTATTGAGAACGTTTATTTACTGGTTGATGTATTTGTAAAGATTTTTGTTTATTTGAAAGACAGAAAGAGAGAGAGAACATGAACAAGAGAACTCCACAATGCCTGAACTAGCTAGGCATCACTCAACCAAGTCAAAGGTAGGAGTCAAGACCTTGATCCAGGCCTCCTGCATTGCTGAAAGGGACCCAGTGACTTGACCCATCACCTGCTCCTCTCCTTTCCTTGGAAAGACAGATATACAGAGAGAAGGAGATAGAGAGAAAAAGATCTTCCATTTGCTGGTTCATACCCTAATTGGCAGCAATGGCTGCAGCTAAGCCATTCTGAAGCCAGGAGCTTCCTCTGGGTCTCCCATGTGGGTGCAGGGTCCTGAGGCTTAGGATCATCCTCTACTGCTTTTCCAGGCCACAAGGTTGGGAGTTGAATGGGAAATGGAACAGCTGGGACGTGAACCAGTGCCCACATGGGATCCCGGTGCATGTAAGGCAAGGATTCAGCCACCAGGCCATTGGACTGGGTCCTACCTGCTCCTTTCAATGGTGGAACAGGAAATAGGAAGCTCGGGTTAGGAACAGAGCTGGGACTTATACCCAGGCATGTTGATAATGAGGTGTAGGCATTTTAACTGCTTTGCCAAATGCCCACCTCCTATCCAAATTTCTTCAGATGAAATCAGTTTTAAGTGGGTACAATAGGCGAGTAAGAAGGGGGACTGCTAACTGGTATTTGTAGAAAGGGAGAGGTGTCCCATTTTCTGCTAAGAATGGGAAAACCATTGTCCCCCTGGCCAGCCACTCAGAGCAGGCTTCTGCAAGACACCCATGCCTGGTCCATGGCCCTCCCTATTATCTTTGTCCTGTTGTGGTGTGGCCGTCATCTGGATTGGAGTCTTGAGCGGGGGAAATTGCCTTAGTTCACCCTTGGTTCCCTGCAAGCATGCCGGTACCCATATGTGTAGTCCCTGACCTCAGCTTCACGGGTACCCCTCCTTTGTCTGATCTGCATATGCAGTGGAATTTGGAACTTGGACCTGGACCCATGCATGTGACTGTGCCTCCATCAGCACATTCACCTTGCATGTGTCCTTCTCCCAAAGCATCTGCAGGCTCTTCTCCCAACCTCCCAAGAAGATACAAGGGGTCAAACAGGGACTGCTGGTGGCTTGCACCCTAAGCACAGGATCTGACATTGAGGTAACTTTTCCCGGCTTGGGATGAGTGAAGCCTTAGATTCCATTAGGCTTGTCAAGCATTGTATTTGCCCAGGTGGCCTTTCAAAATGTTCCGATGTATTGCTGCTGTTTTTCTTTCAGTTTGTCACTCTGTGTTACAATCAGCTGTTTCGAATTCTGTGTTTACTTCCTAAATCAGCCACCTAAAGTGAGACCCCAAATTCCTGCTGGGGGGGAAAGGGGCAGAAGAGGAGAAACATCCACCCTATGGTTCATCACCCAAGTGCCCACGATAGCCCCAAGTCAGGGCCAAAGCTGGGGATCCCAGAACCCCCTCCAGATTTCCTACATGGGTGGCAGAAGCTCACATGTCTGAGCCACCCACAAGGTGTGCCTTGTAGGGAGCGGCAGTCCAAAGCTAGAGCTGGGTGTGGAATGCAAGCCCTCAGATCAGGAATCCAGGCGTCTTAAACTGCATCCTAATGGTAAGGCAGAAGTCTGCCCCTCAGATGGCTCTGAGGTTGTTCCAGATACTGCCCACTTTCTACATGCCAGTATCCCCAAGATGAAAAATCACTGAGAAGAATTCTTTGCACTCCAGTGTAGCACGCCGCTGCCGCAGCCTGGTCTTCCGAGCATGGACACTCTGTCCTTCCCATGCAAAGTTGCTCCTGTCCCCTTGGGTCGGAGACATGCCCGTGGGAGGGGCCAGTCCACAAGGAGGAAAGGCGAGGAGGGCCTGGGGAGCCTGAGTGACTTGGCCAGAAGAAACACAAGCTGGGCCGCCCATGGGAGGCTCACCCTTGCTGCCACTTCCTTCTTGTTTTTCCTGGTGAGGAGTCTTGAGGCTGACTGCTGTTTGCTGTGGTATGGACTGGCTGTCCTTGAGGGATGTGGAACTCACATGTGGGCCACTGCGACGGGTCTCTCCCAGGGGACAACTGACTGGCTGTCCATGAGGGGACCACTGTGACATGCCTCTCCCAAGGGACACCCGATTCCTGCTCAGGTTGGAAACACATCCCCAAGTCTCCTCCTACCATTCTTCACATCTCGCTCATGCAGAGATTTTTGTGTATGTGGGGGAAGGGGAAGGGGATGGTTTTTTGTTTGTTTGTTTTTAAATTTTTAAAAATGTTTATTTTTTGGCCACTTTGATCTTTCAAGAGTCCTTGCAGCCCAATCAGAATCTTGTGGGAAGCAGGGCAGTGCAAGGTTTGAAGTTCTGCAACTCCCTGGTTCCCAGTGCTACTTTCTCCCTGCAGCTTTCCTGGAGGAGAGAGGAGCAGAGGGATCCTCAGGCCCAGCCGGCTTGGGCTGGGCGAGTCTGCAGGGCAGGAGCCGCCGGCTGCGCCTAGCCGTCTCCTAGGCAACCGACACTTGGCCAGCCAGACGTCTGTCTGCGCCAGAGAGGAGAAAAGAGGGCACAGTGGCGGCGGCTGTGCCGTGGATTTCTTTATGCACCGCAATTTTTTTTTTCAACGTTCCTTGATTTTGAGAAAAGGTTGTTTCACTTCCCTGTTGTGTTTTGGCCCCTGTGTCTGGTGTATAACCCTGGCATCTCTTGAATTGTATGTGTGCATTTTCACAGTGTTTTTTTTTTTTTTTTTTAAGAAAGCTGTGCTGTGCATGCGGTCAAGTTTTCATTCCTGAATGATCCCTGGGCGGGCCGCATCCCACATAAGTTTTTGTGGACAGTGGTAAGGCAGACGTAGTTAACAACTTGGCGAGGCTTCGTGCATGTTCGTGTTTTTGTAAAACGTCCCTTCCTGTGGGGGATGCTCTTCCGTTTGATGTGCTCTATTTCCTTAGTGACTGTTGCTCTGTTATGGGAGGGACTTAATGACATTTTTCAAGTGCAGTATTGAATTAATTTATTTCCTGGTTAGTCCTGCTCATCTTCCCAGTATAAATAGAACGTGTGTGTGTGTGTGTGTGTGTGTGTGTACAGCGGAATGGTGACGCTGTACAGGACGGACACTTGAACGCATGACTCAGGCTGACGCCGTGAACTTGTGATCTGGGGGTAAGTTATCTTTCCTTTTTACTCTTTCCCCCTGATTCTCCTGTGTACAATCAGGTAAACTACCGGAGCCTCAGAAGTCCCTTGGGCCGGGCTGTGGCTGCAGGGTGAGAGGTCCTCCCCGGGCAGGCCAGTTGTCAGGGCTCAGGGGCTTGCTGTCCATGGTTTGAGGATAAGTCGGATTCCCAAAGGCCTTTCCCGAGAAGGAACTGCTGTGAGACACGGGTGCAGTGGGAATCATCATTGTAATATCTAATCTTGGAGGAGGACTGGAGATGAGGAGGGCTGAGGACTCAAACTAGGAAATTCACAGCCCACAGCTGGCTGCAAGTGGCTTTATGTGTTACTGTCTGCTGACCCTTCTCCGCGCACCCTTCTGCTTCCGTGCGGAGTGCAGGAGAGCTAAGAGAAGCTTGGTACTCTGGCTTTATTCACTTATCCACCCCTTAAGAAAGCACTTTATTTATTTATTTATTTTTTAAGAGAGGAGAGAGAGAGGAAGATCTTCCGTCCGATGATTCACTCCCCAAGTGAGCACAACGGCCGATGCTATGCCGGTCCGAAGCCAGGAGCCTCTTCCGGGTCTCCCACGCGGGTGCAGGGTCCCAAAGCTTTGGGCCGTCCTCGACTGCTCTCCCGGGCCACAGGCAGGGAGCTGGAAGGGAAGCGGGGCTGCCGGGATTAGAACCGGCGCCCATATGGGATCCCGGGCGTGCAAGGCGAGGACCTTAACCACTGCGCCACCGTGCCGGGCCCGAAAGCACTTTATTTATTTACTATTATTATTATTATTATTTTTTTACTGAATACCTGCCAGACACCACACAATGTCGTAGGAACTGAGAAATTGAGAATCGCAAAGCCCAGTGCCTATCCTGGTGAGCCTTACAGTCCAGTGGGGACCTTCAAGAACACGGGCTCTTAGCGGGACTCTGAGTTTTGCCTGGGGCGTCATCAAGGAAGCATTTCTTGGTGCTTAGATGGTGCTTTGAATCAAGCCTTGAAGATCAGGAGGTGTGCCACAAGCAGCAGGCACAGGAGATTGGGGACAGGAGGGACCTCCAACAAGACATCTTGCTTCAACTGTCCACGCCAAATTGTGCAGCAGAAGTTATGCTGGCTGGGACGTGGTCCCTAAATGTGGGGCTCCAGGAAGAGCAGGGCACATCGCCTGTGCCGAGCAGTTTCAAGGATGATGTTTCCCCTGGGTCCTGTTTGTCCATCTTGGCCCATCCTGTGGGTCACCTGATGCGTGCTTACTGAGCACTGGCTGGCTTCTTGCCCATTCCCGATGGCTGGGAACACCGACTACCTATACCTGTTGCTGTTTATGTCTAAGAAGGGCATCTCATCTGTGCTGTTGGCAGTTGGGAAGAAGGTGCTTCTGGCATTTTGGGTTTCTTTTGAAGTTGAAATTGCATGGGGGTGGTGGTGAGGGCATGTAGGCACCGAGCAGCTGTCACCACCACCTCCTTGATGCCTTGCCCCTCGTAGCTGACAGTGAGCCCTCCCATCTCCCCGAGACCCACTTTGAAAAATTCCACGGAAGGGAAATCAATAAATGCAAGGCTTAGCCTGGTTCATTTAGCTTAACATCCTCAGCATCCATCCACGTGGTTACACACGACAACGCTTCCTTTGTTTTTAAGGTGGAGCAGAGTTGGGGGGGGGCAGGGTGAATAGGCCATATTTCCTATTGTGACCGATGCCACAGTGAACCAGGGAGTCCAGGTGTCTTGTTGACACCATTTGATTTTTTTTCTTCTCTGGCTACAAGACTGACACAGCATGTGGTCATTCTAGTTTTAATTTTCAGAGGAAGCTGGGGGCCATTTCCCCCAGTGCTGGCACTGAGTCGCCTCTCACCGCCAGTGTCCCCATATCTTCTCCAACATCTGTTACCTTATCTTTCTGATGACAGCCACTCCAGCCAATGTGAGGAGTGGTCTCACCATGGTTTAAATGGGCACTTCTGAGATGATTCATGTGGTTAGGCTTCTTTTTGTATTGTTATTCGTGGGCTGCTTAGAAGTCATGGCTTGAGAAATGCCTGTCCAGGCTCTTTGCTCATTTTTCAGATCATATTGTTTTCTTGTTGCAGAAAAAAACGCTTTCAAACCATGCATCTGAGGAAGGGCCGACATCCACAGTGTGCGGGAAACGGTCTGTGGGTTGTGTCTTTTCTCTGTTGATTGTTTCCTTATGACACCTTGGCCCGAGTTAAGATAGCTTTACTTCTGTAATGGAACAGAACAAGACGAAGACCCCACAGTAAGACAAGGGCAGCACGAGTCTCACCATAGTTCAGAAGTAACACCAGCTAGCGTGTCGGTGCATGGGAGCCGTCCCAGCAAGGACAGAGAACGAGCAGCTATGGGGTCGGTGACATTGGATTTTATCGGGCGGGATAAAAATCTATTTCCTGAAATTGGTGATTGTATGCGCTAGATGAGTTTACTTTGGAAGTTGATGTAGGGCCTTGGGGTGTAAATACCGTGTGTTGGCTCGTTTTGCATGGAATGTTTAAATTCTGGGGAAAAATGTTTTCTCACATTTTTTTAAGCACTTCAAAACCACTGTTTATATAAATAATTGATTTTGAAATTAAAACAAAATTTTACCTTCTCATTTAACTTAAGGACTTCTATTGGGCTCTAACTTATTAACTGAGGTCATATAATCAAATTTCTTAATTATAATGAAGATACTTCATTAATTTATATGATTCTGCTTACAGTTAGTTCCTATTGGTCAGGGATTACTTCATCAAGTCATATTTGTAGCGATGGGAGATTTTAACAGAGGGTTTCTTTCCATTATGCGACTTGTTTCTCGTAAGTTGTCTTTCCTTAGTTTAATGGTACGTAAGGGGAGTAAAGTTCCATATTTCTAAAAGTCGTTTGTACCGCCCATGTTTAACCTGGTGGAGGAGTGGCCACTACCATATTGAAGTGGCTCCTGATGCAGACTCTGGGAGATCTTGGTGGTGGCACCTGCTGCCCACGTGGGAGACCTGATGGCATTTCCGGCTTCCTGCTTTGGCCCCAGCTTGGGATTGTTCCTGGCATTTAGGGAGCAAAAGCAGCAGTCAGGGGTTCTCACTGCCTGTGTCTTTTGACTGGATAGATGACATGAACAAAATACACAGTGACAGAAGGAAGCAGTGGTGAAGCAGAGGATGAAGTGGCCATGGAGCAGGCTTTCTTTGCCCCAGGACAGGAGATTGGTATTCCAGATTCTCTTTCAGGACTCAGGGCCTCTGAGTGTCTCACATTCTTGTTAGCATGACCCGACTTATAAGGTAACATACATAAAATGTCCAAAAAGTGTTTGTATTATTAAGTAACATATGGACCAGTTTATAGAATGTATTTTTTTTTGCCTTCCCACTCTTTATTTTCAAAACAATTAACTTGGGCCTTTGTCTCCCCCCTAGATCCACTTGTGCTGATTGTTCAGTTTTAAAACCCCAACTTCCCCTTTCTGACATGTGGCTGGCTGTGGGTCCACACTGCAGACTACGGACCCGCTTGGGGGGCAGCTTGTGGACTGCGTTCCCCATGGCTCTCAGGGTGCAGGTGGGGCCCTTGACACCAGCTCCCCCACTGCCCTCAGTGCATCCTGGGCGTGGCTCCGGGCGGCTTTGCCCTATGGGTGCCCCTTAGGCCCGCTGTCTTCATGTTTCCACAGATCCTCAGGAAAATGACCTCTTTCTTTTTCATTTCAGCCAAGGGAGAGGTGACGGTGACGAAGTGGCTGATTCGACAGGGCGGGGCTGCCTGGGCGTTGTGAACTCTGCGGGTGCCGCCGTGGCGGAGGACGCCCTCATCCTGCAGTGGGGAGCAGGTCTCCGCGGGACAGCTTCTCCGCACCCCAGCTCACCATGGCATCTACGCTCTGGCTGGACGGCTGACGGACCGTGTGCCCTGTGTGTGCCACTAGAGCGTGCCCTGGCCAGCTACCTGCTGCTCACGAGGTGTGGGAGCGAGGCACGAGGGCATCCGATGCTCCCCAGAGCCGGACTGGCGGAGTGATGGACTTGCACAGGCTAAGATGGAAGTGACCTGAGGCCTTGGCCAGGCGGTTTCCTCACGAAGGACAGCTTAAGAATCGGCGCACAGGCTTGTCTGGGGAGCAGTATGCAGGAAGCTGGCTTCCAGGCCACGAATGCTTTCACAGGTGAGATTCCGGCTCATGGGAGTGGTGGCTTCGTTCCAAGACGCAACAGCTCGAGATGACACGGCAAGCACGTGCCGTGAACTCGAGCCCGCATGGCGTGGAGGGCTCAGGCTCCCCGTGGTGACTGATTGCCACGGAGTGATCAATGTGCTTACCCTCTTGTTGTCAATAAGAAACCGGAAAGTGTTTGCCATTGTAGGATTCTGGCTTGTTTCTCGGTTTGCACAATAGGATACACTGGGTATCTTGCAGTGTTTCTAGAGGGCCTGGCCGGGGAGGGACAGCTGGGGACCTCCCCTTGTGGTGAGCTGGCATGGTAGTACAATGCTGATTATGTCCCTGGCAGTCAGGTGGCACTCTCCACCAGGCATCACCCAGTCTAACACTGTGCTCTGAGAGACTCGGGTTCGGGGGGCGGTCTGGTTCACGTACCCTCCCAGGAAGCACTTAATCCTGGGCCCTGTGACTGCTTGCTGATAGACTGGGAACTGTGACGTTGGTGAACCTCATGAAATCTGAGGCAGAAATGTCATAGCCTAAGAAGAGGGGCTTTCTTGGTGTGTGTTTTGTGTCTGATTTCCAAGGAAAGAGCACAGAAATAGTCACGAGAAGTGACCGTATTCTTTGAGTCCCTAAGATGTGCAGCTTTTAAAGCAGGCCAGGTCATTAGGGTGCCTGGAGGAAGAAGCTAACACAGAATCAACCCCTTCTGCCAGCTGCCAGCTGCATCTGCACTCCCAGACGAGTCCTCCAACTCCTGTCTGCCTCCTTCTGCCCGTCTGTCAGTAAAGACGATCCCTTACTTGTCTTCTGTGTTTCTCTGGAAACTGTGATCATGACATGTGTGCGACGCCCCTGAGACCTTGGCCCGGCTTCTGGCCATGTGATCCCATAGTGTGCCCTGGGGCTGGTGTTCCGGCTCTCTCACGGACCTGGTGCCAGCCTGGCAGGTCTCTCAGCATCCACTTGTGTAAACACAGGAGCCTGGACAGTGGTGCTGTGATGAGAGTGGCCCGCCAGAAATGGCCTCAACAGCCAGTCGCACAGAGACTGAGACATGTCAGAGAGTCGAGCTCCCTGGGACCACCTGCAGATGGCTAGCCACCATGGCTGGATTCCCTGTGCTCTGAACCTGGAGTGGGCATGCTGGGCTCTTTCCATCTCATGAGCTACACCTGCTGTGATGGCCCCTCCCCTTCCCGGTGTTGACATGAACCCCCTTGGAAGGTGGCCAGGTGTGTACTGCCCAGGAAACTCTGCCCCCTTAAGAGAGAGTTGTTGAGGGCTGACCATGTCGTTTAGTGTCACAGCCAGCACATGAGGGCGTGCGGAATGACAGCTCGAGCTGGTCCTATCTGGGAACCAGTGAAACGGAAATTGAAGGCGCACACCTGATGTGGATTCCTGGAGGCTTGTCTGTCACTGATGCTCTCTGTCAGCTCTTCTCATCCCTGCTTTGCACATACGATCTATAAACAAAATCGTGGGATTTAAGCTGAAGGGGCTGACTTTCTCTGCCCCCATTAACTGGGTGAAGTTTGGTCTCAGGAGGTGAGCAGGATGTTGGTGCCCGATCTTGTGTGGGCTTTTTGTTCCCATTTTCTCTTAGTCTTATTCTGAGGCAACAAAAAATAGTAATGTCTTTGTTTTTGGAATTGAAAGTAACAGTGACTTGGTTGATTCTCTTAGCAAGTGAATCTTGTCCAGAATATCCTAAAAAGTGAAGACGTACAAGCAGTTTTTCTCAAGATTTTAGTTTTGTTTTAGGGCAAAGCAAAAATCACCATGCAGTGTGAACTGTGCATTGCTTATGTTCCTCCCCCTCCCTCTCTCTCTCTCTCTCTCTCTCTCTCTCTCTCTGCCCTGGCCTTCTTGTTGCACAGAGAGGAGGACATAGGGGCTGCAGTCTGGCTACTCAGAACCGAGAGACTGATTGTTAAGTTTCACTCGCAGAGAAAGCCTGCTGAGAGTTTGGAGTTGTGTAAAGCTGGTGGTGGAAGCTTGGGGAAATGCTAACTTCCGGATTCCCCTCTCCTGCCCCTTCCGTGTGGTTAGAACCCTGTCCTTCATGTTAACTTCCTGCATGAATGTGAGAATACAGAGTTACATGTTACAGATTTAACTTCCAAACTGTACTTTTCTTGACCTAATCCTGCATACAAGATGACTGTGTTGTCTTAAAAATGGTTTCAGCACATATACTTAAGAAGTGATTCAGTTAATTGGATACTGTTTTGTAACAAAGCTAATTCCCTCCCTTTTACAAGTAACTTCTACTATGGGCCAGCGCGGTGGTGCAGTGGTGAAGGTCCTCGCCTTGCACGCCCGGGATCCCATATGGGCGCAGGTTCTAATCCCAGCAGCCCCGCTTCCCTTCCAGCTCCCTGCTTGTGGCCTGGGAAAGCAGTCGAGGACAGCCCAGAGCTTTGGGACCCTGCACCCATGTGGGAGACCTGGAAGAGGCTCCTGGCTTCCGATTGGCTCAGCTCCAGCCATTGTGGCCGCTTGGGGAGTGAATCATCAGACAGAAGATCTTCTTCTCTGTCTCTCCTCTCTGTATATCTGCCTTTCCAATCAAAATAAAATACATCTTTAAAAAAAAAAAACAAGTAACGTCTACTCACCACAAGGAAGTCAGAAAGAACAGAGAAGTCAAAAGAAAGACAAATTCCCCATGTAATATTGCCTTGTGTCCTTTCAGTCTGGCTGAAAATTTCTTTTAGAACTGTGCTTATAGTATTCCATCGGATCATTCTCTTTTAGCATTAAATGATGGGCATTTCCTTTAGAAATATGATTTAAAAGTGCTGTCCAATAATCTGCCATGTACATGAACTTGAATTTTTAAATTATGTTTATTGTTGGATTGTATGATTTCTGACAGTTTTTACTGATAATGCTCGGATGCACACGTCTGTACCTAAGTTCTTCCATATATTTGATTATGGGATAAACTCCCAGAAGCAGAATGATTGGATCCCAAGATGTAAATTTTATTAAAGCTTACGATTGACTTTCCAAGGGCGAGGGGAGGGATTGGTTAATCTTAAGTTGAAAACTTCACCAAAGTTGATTGCTTTCTGCTGCCAGGTGCCCATCCCCAGTCGGTGTGTGTATTGTCAGTGGCCTCTTGCCGCTCTGCCAAGGGATGCAGCGGTCTTTTCTGGCCTTGCAGAGGGTGTTTGTGAAGCTGTGTACACCGGTCCCTGAGAGCCATGTGCCAGGCTGATCACACCATTTCCGGGCAGCTTCCTCAATTTGCTACTTTTATACCTCCAGGCAGTCTTTGTGCTCAACTCTAGTTCGTGCAAAGACTATAGATGCATAGACTCCTGAAATGTTAAGATTGTCACAGGGACAGCTCTCCCCCAGCTTCCAGTTCTCTGGGTGATACAGGGCTGCATCAGCCCTTACCCAAACCCCCTGCCACTGTGGAGGTTGTGCTGATGTTTGCTCTATGCCCGAGTGGAGTTGGCAGCACCTTGGGTTAACACATGCACAATCTGAGGAAGTTATTGGTTTGGGATATTGCCTCTTTCCTGCCCCAGTACCATCTTCATACACCACAAAGACTTGCACGCTGTCCTGGTTGTAGGCTCTTCAAGTTGCCTCAGCATTAGGAACAACAGTTAGCCTTGGGTAACCAGGCAGATGAGCCAAATCCCTATAGAATCGACAGCAGATCTTCCTTGTGAAAAGGGTAATCAGAGCTGACGAAGAAATCAAGATGATCTCACCTTGACGACAAAAGTTGGCTTGGCAGCCTGCAGGTATTTGCAGGGAAGCTGTGAGTGCTAGTGGCTGGGTGCTTTGCTGCCACCATTGACCCAAAAGGAAGAATAGACCACTGTTACGTGGTGAAGCTGTCTGTTTCTCCCTTGGGCTCTGAGAGGGTGGGTGGGGTTCTTGAGGGAGAGGCGGAGGGCTCCACAAATGCAGCAGTCACATGGTTCCCAGTTCTCTGACAGCCCCTGCCACACTCACAGCTTACAGCTCACTACCGTGTCAGCAAGGCTGTGCCCCTATGCTGACCCGTGGGAGACACTGGTCCATGCTCTCCAGAACTTGTTGCGGATCACCTGTTGAGGGGACGCCGAGAGCCAGGTTTCTAGTTTTCATGGCCAAATCCTGGAAAAAGATGCAACTCTCTTAACTGTGGAATTTTTCAAAGTCTCTAACATAGAGCTGTGTAACAGGTGGGCAGTCAAGGGGCAGTGTCAGAAAGAACAATGTGGGAGCTTAGTACTGGGGTGCAGCAGGCCAAGCCTCTGTCTCAATGCCAGCATCCCATATCAAAGTGATAGCCCAAGTCCTGGATGCTCTGTATCCTTCGGGTGCACCTGGCAAGGACGTAGACAAAGGCGCTTGCCAGCCATGAGGGAGACTAGAACGGGGTCCCTAGCCCAGACCTGATTGTTACAGGTATCTGGGTGAATGAATCAGCAATCTGCCTCCCCCCTCCTGCCTGTGTGTGTCCTGCTTCCTCTGTCATTATTTTGCCTTTCAAGTAAAGAGGAAGGACAGGACCAAGGGAAGGGAGGTGATATCTTTGACCCTAGAGCAGTGGCTTGCCTCTGTGCACTGGCCTCCCTGTTGCAGACCTGCTCGGCTGGTGCAGTGCAGCAGGCGCATGGCAGTGGACCAGGCTGTTGACAAATGCTGGTAACATGGCATTGGGTGACCAGAATGGAGAACGACAGTTAGTCTTTCTGCCTCCACCCCTCCCTCTGTAGTTCCACCAACGTTCTTCCAAGTCCGGATCTTTTTTTTTTTTTTTAAGATTTATTTTATTTTTACTACAAAGTGAGATATACAGAGAGGAGGAGAGACAGAGAGGAAGATCTTCCATCTGATGATTCACTCCCCAAGTGAGCGCAACAGATGATGCTATGCTGATCCGAAGCCAGGAGCCTCTTCTGGGCCTCCGAAGCAGGTGCAGGGTCCCAAAGCTTTGGGCCGTCCTCGACTGCTTTCCCAGGCCACAGGCAGGGAGCTGGATG